TGCTTTCGCATTGGGGTTGAGGTCTGAAACCTTGGGGGATTCCTGCAAACACAACACAACGTTTGGGTCAGAAAGGTCCATTTTAGGAGAGGCAAATCTGCACAGCGACAGTTTCAAAAGGAAGACAAATATTTACCAACTCATCGTACTTTTTTTCGACTCATGATAGACTGTTTTATGTACTATGTATTGTGGACAGGTAATTATCACAAATTGGACATCATAAGAACCTTTTACACTTTGAGAAAAGCGAGAGCAACAAGGCAAAGGGCACAGATACAGAAACCACATTGGTGTGACTGAATAAAGTATTAAATGCTTCCAAGTTATTTAAAATCCGACGTGATACTGGGTTCCTCATGACTATAAAAACATTGGTATGGTACATCTCAAGTTAAACTGTAGTTAATTTACTAGTAAAAATGAAGTGAAAGTAAATATTAAAATGTACTTTCCAAGTAATTTCCCCTTTGCTCAAACGTCACACACAGAAGAAATATGACTTTAATTTGAACACAATCTTTGCCCAAGTCATAAAGGTTCTGTTTATCAGTCAGTGTTTTTAATCATTTGCATTACTCTTTAGGTAGGTAGGTAGGTAGGTAGGTAGGTAGGTAGGTAGGTAGGTAGGTAGGTAGGTAGGTAGGTAGGTAGGTAGGTAGGTAGGTAGGTAGGTAGGTAGGTAGGTAGGTAGGTAGGTAGGTAGGTAGGTAGGTAGGGTAGGTAGGTAGGTAGGTAGGTAGGTAGGTAGGTAGGTAGGTAGGTAGGTAGGTAGGTAGGTAGGTAGGTAGGTAGGTAGGTAGGTAGGTAGGTAGGTAGGTAGGTAGGTAGATAGATAGATAGATAGATAAATAGATAGATAGATATTGAACGCAATGATGTAGTGTTTGTGGGTGAAGGTGTTATATTATAAAAGACAACAACAAATTGCAACTAATAGGATAACAACACAGTTGGAGAAAACAAAAACCTCCCCCTTCAGGTCAAAAATAAGAAATAAATCAAAACAAGCATGAAGAACAATACAAAGTCTAATTAATATCCTGCTTCAAGCAACATAAATCTTTCCATCTCATCAATCATGTCTCCTCATCTGCTTTTAAAGAAGCTTCCTCACACCAGCAGCATCTGCTTCAAACAGCAGGGATGCAAACAGACACGTAAACCCTGCAGATACTCACAGGATCAAAGCAACAGTGGAGCATGCACGTCTCAAAAGATAACAGGCTGTAACCCAGAGCTGTGGTCAGAGCGAGTGTCTCATTGAAGTCCTGAAGCCAGGCGCTTTCAGACGGAGGAGAAATGAGGCTCCACTGCATCCAATCCATGATTAAAACACTTTAAAACTAAAGTATCTCCACCGGCACTCCCAATATCTGCCTTCAAGGCATCCTCCAGGGCATCAAAACACCCTCGTCATATCACATCGCCACGCTGCGTTTCTCTGATTCGAACTGCTGGGGTTGATTCAGCAATAATGTGATGACAGACGTAGCTGACGTAGCAGACGCTGATTGGCTGCCTGTCGCTCCCAGACTCTGTTTTGTGTTGTCGCTGTTGCACTGAGTCATTCTGAGGGAGAAAACACTGAGCAGGGGAGAGTTGGGTTGCACACCTGAGCTCAAACGCAGCTAAAGGCAACCCTCTTGAGCTAATCATTAATAGTGTGTCTGCTAACGAGTTACCGAGGCAACGGATACAGCGAAGTGAAATATAGAACTGGAGTAGTTTGTTTATCAGAGGAAAATTGGATTATGTTGCTCCTTTTTAGAAAGTAATGACATTTAATTATTTAAAAAAATATGGATATAAATATAGGATAACAAGGTAAAGTAAGAATGTGCAAAAAATGCTAAATATAAAATAAAAATACTCATAAAAAGGAAAGTGTCGCATAGAATATAATATTTAGATAAGCATGAGTTTAGGTATGTGCAATAAATAATAAAATAAAATAAAACATATACATTAATATTAGGTTAAAGTAAGAATGTGCAATAAAAGATTAAATGTATTAGAAAATTTATAAATATAAGCAAAAAAAAAAATATAGAATAAAAATATGTATACAAACATAAAAAAAGTCAATTAAGAAAATTGGGTTATGTTTCTCCTTTTTAGAAAGCAATGACATTTCATTATTTAAAAAAATATGGATATAAATAAAGGATAACAGGGTAAAAAATGCTAAATATAAAATAAAAATGCTCATAAAAAGGTAAGTGTCGCATAGAATATAATATTTAGATAAGCATAAGTTTAAGTATGTGCAATAAATAATAAAATCTACATTAATATTAGGTTAAAGTAAGAAAGTGCAATAAAAGATCAAATAAAATAAAACTGTAGATTAATAAATATAAACATTAAGTGGTTTATTTAAAAGGTCCCATGTCATGGCCATTTCTACTGATCATAGTTCTATTGTTGAGGTCTACTAGAATAGATTTACATTGCTCAATGTTCCAAACTCACAGCATCTCTGTATAGTGTGTGTATTCACTCTCTGTCCTAAACGGCTTGTTGGAGCTCCACCCCCCTCCCTGTGAGCCCAGTGTGCTCTGATTGGTCGGGACGTTGCGAGGCTCGTTGTGCTTGCTTACTGGTGTGGTTTCCGGGTCGGCGATACAGCGAGACAGCGCGAAACTCATCCTGAGCACACAAACACTCACAGCCGAAGTAAAAACAATAAGTGTGGCTTGATATTGAGAAAGAAAAAGGTTTCTAACGCTGTGAGAATGGGTCTGCGGAGAGCATTTCGCCGCCATCCCAACTCGTCTATTACCAACCAGGGAGCTCTATGCAAGTCAATGGGTCTCCCTGTTAGTTGAAAATGTACGCTAAAGGTCCTGGTGTGTGAGGAGCTCCGGATTGGTCCATTTGTGTTCCCGGAAGAAACAAATGGAAAAAGAGAAATGTCCAACGAGGCGTTCTGGGGCAGCACAGACAGGTCTTCTCTGTGTTAGAGTTTTACTCGCAACAGGCTGTACTTTGAGGGTTTGTGACTCTGCAGACCGTTCACATGCAGAACAACCTTCATAACACAAGGGGACGGGTCATAACCAGAAAAGCATGACATGGGACCTTTAAAGTTAAAAAGCCCAATGAGACGAGTGGAGCACCATGAGACGAGTGGAGCACCATGAGACGAGTGGAGCACCATGAGACGAGTGGAGCACCATGAGACGAGTGGAGCACCATGAGACGAGTGGAGCACCATGAGACGAGTGGAGCACCATGAGACGAGTGGAGCACCATGAGACGAGTGGAGCACCATGAGACGAGTGGAGCACCATGAGACGTTGTTCCCGGGTCGTATTTCACCAGCGCTGCTCTGAGAGACACATAAACCATAATAATACAGACGGTCGCTAATGAAAAACTCCCACTCCTGTCCCAGCCGGTCGCCATAGAAACGGTTTCTGACATCACCGGATGTTGACGTCCAATAAAATGGGCATCGCTTGACCTTTCAAAAATAAAAATGTTCCCTTCGTTCACAGAGGAGGAGGGAAGAGGAGGAAGAGGAAGAGAGAGGAAGGTTAGTGACTCCTCTGATTGGGCGTAGTTTCTTTTCTTTGGGAGGGGGTGTCGTGATAGGACAGAGACGAGTTGTTGTCGTGTCATCGTCTGGTTTATGAACTGTCTGTCTGATGGAGGAGAGCTCACAGCAGACGGACGGATGCCTTCAGGGGAGACAACAAAAACAGCTGCATTTGTCTGCAGACCTGAGGCTCGTCTCCTCTGAGGGACATTGAATGCATCGTAACTAGGGATGCACAATTTGTTGAAATGTAATCAATATTGCAGTTTTGGCTTTTGCAATATTTAAATGGCAACAGGTGTAATATTCACAACAGGCAAAACATGTCTAAATATTATTTTAGATGAAGTGTTATGGTGCTGCAGAGACACCCAGGCCTACAAATTGTATTCTACAGACTTAATAAAATATCTTTGTGTTTTCTTTGTTTCTTCTTACTGTTGGGATCAATTAAAGAATATCGTATCGCACCTGCAATATCGGAACAAAAACTAATAGTGCAGTTCTTATCAAAACTATTGTTAAAGGGTTGATCCTGAGCATCATTTCCTGCCACTTGTATAGCATCAACAGGTGTGGTTCAAGGTGATTAAGTATTATAAATACATCTTCTTTCAATGCAGGAAAGCAATCAAACCCACTTACACAATCTCCACGGGCAAGGTTATCAAACGGCATCACATGAAGATACAAAAAAGGGCATTTATTCGGACAAATACCTTCCAAACGCTAGTCGTGTTAAACCAGAGCAACCCGGTTTTTTTATTACAGTTGTTGCACATTGGTTTATTAATTCATGTAAATAAATAGATGGAGGAATAATCGACCAATCAAAGCTTTGTTAGCAGGTTTGAAAATGAAGACGTCAAGCAAACTCCACAGTAAGCTGTTTTCAAAGCAGGAATTTTGCCGAGTCACCGCAGAGTAAACACAGGTGTGATCGATCATTAATTATAGTCCTGTTCTATTAAGCATGTGACAGACATGTCATCACGGACAATACCACGGCCCTGCCACACCTACATGGCACAGGGTTAAATATTAAAAAGGTAATAAATACACCTGTGTTTACTTTGCAAAGGCACGTCAAAATAGCTGGGAATGAAAAGCCTTGTTAAGAAGGACGGTGACTTGTTTCTGTCCATTGAAACGTCTGAGGGCTTTTCATTTGAAGACATTACAGGACAGAATAAAAGCTTCTCGATACAAAAATGATGACCGAATATACTTTAAAGGATATACATGAAAGAAATGGTTAAAAAGTAGTGTGTTGTGTGAGGTCCTGATCACAACACAATGCTATTTTAATATACTACTAGTTATACTTCTATATTGTAAGTGTTTGACATACAAAATATATTATTAGATTGCATTTTATTGGACATCAGCAACTCTAATGGCGCGTTTCCACTGCAGCGGGTAGCTCGCGTGCCGAGCCGTGCGGGCCGTTTTTGGTTGCGTTTCCACTTGGCCTAGTACCGGCTAGCGGGTCCTAATT